TAAAAGACCCTGTGACTCATTGTTTTTATTAAGATACATAGTTTAATGGAGACTTCTTAATTGGGAAGCTACGGAGAACTCCTTGCTTGAACTCGAGACTCTTATGAGATATCTTGTCTCAGGTGATGACACGGAAAACTCACGACAGATCTCGGCTTGAATAATATCAGAAAAGGGAACTAGCTATTCTATGATGAAGGAAAATAACTATGCGTGAACTGGAAAAAAAGATTTGTTGTCAAAGAACCTTCAAAAATGGTGTTCTTTAGGCAAAGCAAGCATTAACATTGTGCAATTACAGAGGGAACTTCAAAAAACGTAAATAAAAACCCCAACTGACGGAAATAGTGCAGGCAAAATTTTACGCGCCCATTCATTCAAATCTGAGCTTAAGAAGCAGCAAAAATGAATGAAAACTACCTATGCATTTTCTGAATACCAAACTTGGGTATTCATTTCTTTTCAATTTAAATATGGAGGACATGAACTGACGAAAATTTAATCTCATCAACCATCATTATAATTCAGATTCAATATCATGTAATACCACTCTCAGAAACCGGCTGAGGGTGAAATTTAAACCATTCCATTGACCAGATGAATGGGAGGATGACCGACTTTGAAGTCGTTCAGCAGTAATGAAGCTCCAAAATTGTATCTGTTATTTCCATCTATTCCAAAATTCTACTTTTCACATCCCACAGTGGATTTTAAAACGGAGACGAACTTTTTAAAAATGAGCTGAGGTTGAAATTGCTTCTCTACCTCATTAGAACGAATAATCCGATTGGACACCATTTCTGCGAAGTAAATATAATTTATTGAATTACTTTAAATAATTGTATGCTCGAATCACTAAAGCCTTTTGCGACATCTTCCCAATGAAGTTTTATGAAGAATCACAAAGTAAAATAGAATAAACTAGAAATATCTATTCGAAAAACTCTAATACGATAGTGAAAAGTTCAGTTACTGGGATCCCTCTACATCCGCTCAGATGGCATGCACCTTCAATACAAATAAACAATGCTATCGAGAGAAAAAATGACCCCCAGGCAGTCGGTATTGACCAAAAATAGATTATTTTGTCTACTTCGACATTGGTAAGCCTGAACTTTTCTCAGGGACCGAAGAAAAGAGTTTTACTTGAGAAAATGTCAATTCATTTTGATAAACAAAGGTTGCGTGAATTTTATTGATTAGAGGCTTGACTACTGGCGATATGCTTCGCACACCCAATGGATGGAATGAACACTCCGAAAACAACGATAACTATAACTAAGTTAGTAAATATTCAGACACAGAACCGTGTTTATTCATATTATCTTTAGTCACATAATAGTGTCCCCTATGGAAGTAGGTGGTTAGCTTCGTGAAGAGCACTGTTCGATAACCATATATTGAGTATTCATTGATTTCCTATTTATTTACGTTACTTTTACACAAAGCTATATCCGCGTTTAGGCAGATGTTTTACTGATAAACAAAATGAAGTCATTTTGAATGCTATTGACCTCTCCTAAGTTAAAATATCTTTGCTAATTTCATCTGCCTTAACGTTGCCGTAGGCATTTTAAATTGATTAAATTAATATGAACAACCATTCAATGAAATCAACTTCAACAAGTTGAGAATTAACCCAAGAACCTGGGATTTAAATCGTGAAATGTTTTATTTGTTCGAAGATTAAAAAAAGCATCATATCCAAAGTAAAAAATAGAGAGCAAATAATAACATCTAAAATAAAAGAAGACTATTGATACCTTGGTTTCACCACACACTTATCCAAAACCATCCCCCTCTACATACTGTTATCCCTTTATTAAGGCGATGACATGTTTAAAACTAGCAATTATTTCTAATTAGCCAAGGACGCATTCCGCAATATTCCTCCTTTGTTGACGATCTTTCCAAATTCTAATTTCAACACTGTGCTGTTAATTCAGAATAATTAAAAGACAAATTGAGCTTACTTTTTGCACGCCTTCCTTCAAAGGCATGGCGGATTTCATCAATTTGAGGAAAGCGTCTGCAACATCCTGAGCAGCACTCATGATATAGCCTTGAGATTCGTCGTTGCCATCTACAGCTTGCAGCTGATCCAGTACACGAACATTCTGCATCAGACGTTGAACATTCAAACCAATGGTAGCTAAAGAAGCATCCATTGCTGTGTAGTCGACTGCATCGTCGTCATCATAACTGGATTCTTGAGACCCGTCTAATGAGAATAGTGGCGTAGATGAATAATTGATAAGTGAAATGTACTCTGAATTTGTGTTAAGGTCAATGTGGAATCGCATTAACCACAGTACAAAATTCTGTCCTGACACCGTGTTAAGTTTCGTTTTAAAGGCAAAATATTTGTTTTTTTTTAATGAAGAAATTAAAGTTGAGTCGACCAATCATTCGTCAGAAGGCAAGTAAAATTTTCGCCATATCAGCAAAGCAAAATAGGATACTAAGCTATGTAAAAATGAAAAAAAAACGCTATGAAAGCCCAGACTGCTACGTTGTCACATTTTTTCCTACATTCACTCTATCAAGTAAACGAAGGCACGCCTATCAAATCAGCACACCACTGTGGATCTTGGCCCAATATATCCCATCATTCGACGTCGGTGCCCAAAACACCTCTTCTCTATGTTACGCCAGTACAGGGTGCGCGGTAGACTTACCGCCACATGGTACACCATGAGCAGCATATACTCATATGTCAGAAAAGTCTATAAACCGCCAGGTGACTTCCAACTACAAACTACCATGACCCAACTGTATGTCTTATTCGATCCCTTCCACAGTACTCAGCTCATATAACTTTTTCTCCACCTTTGTGTCGATCACCTTTGCATCTGTGAACCACTCTTCTGTTCCCCCTCTCCACTTTTTGTGACTGTGCTCCTCGCCTCTGTGAAGCCCGAAGTCAACTCAAGGGCTAATGAAAACTATCATAAATAAATGTGATCTGCGTGCACGCCTACCGATCAGAAATTACGAGACCGACACCCATTTGCGAGCATACTGCACTCGAATTATTTCCGGAAGTTAATAAAAGTAGAAGGATGTGAGGTTCTCATAAAAGCAGCTTCGGGAAACCTTTCCTCTGTATTGAGAAATCCCGATTAAGATCAATTGCTTAAGTTCTGATTGTCCATTAGGAAGATCTCAAATTTTTTATGAAATGAGTAACTAATAGAATTGTAATCCATGCACTGCCTCTGTCCCATATATAGAGCAGGAGTGCATCTGTGTGTGGTGTCTTGATAATGACCTCGAAGGAGTAGAAATACGTGGCTATCACGTGAGTAGTATTAATACTCACATCGCCTTTTTTATCTATGGGTAGGTATTAAGTGCTCAAATGCAGTAGATGCATCGACATTAATGAACGCATGAATGATAGTAATAAGGTCATCTGCTAATTACTAGAGCTATAATGCGCAACCGTATTAAAGAACATCTCCATGAGTTCAGACCTCATCGCCGATTATACTCCTCAACCACATAGATCCAGCCTTCTACTTTGAATATTTACAATTCTCTTCAAGCTCTGAGAATAAACCGGTTTTTATTTTGCACATACTAGGTAAAATTTTCCAGAATTGAAAGAAAATGTAGAAAAAAAATTACCTCCATCCATTCGGCCTTGTGAAGGTTGAAGTAGAGAGATTAAGTTTCCTGTAGCAATAGTCATCGCGCCGAGATAACTGCAGATCCCAGCTCGAGCCTGAGCCATATTTTCCTCTCGCCAGCGTTGAGTTGCCTAGACAAGTAACCAAGCAAATTCAAATTAATAATTCACATATTCCACTCTAACAGTTGAAAAAAGTGTTGGGTTAACAAGATTCTTATAAATGAATTAGACGGGCTGTTAGATAATTATGGCATGAGGAGTTAGTCTCACCGAATCATCCCGAGAAACACTGTCGTCTTCGAAGTAGGGCTTCTGAAGACTGCTGCTTGCATCCTGAATCTCCTTGGTGCTCTCATCAATGCGAAGCATCACCGCTCGTTTGGGTTGGCTCAATTCCTTCATTTGAACCTGCATTGAAATGGTAAATATATATTAATCACTCAGATACCATTATTCTGTAAACAACTTTGTAGGTTGAAAATGGATGATAAGCTATTTCTTTTATTTCACTTAAAAAGCTAAGGCTAAAATGATAAATCATGCTAACGGATCGCTTGAGAACATGAAAAGGGGCTTGGAGAAAAATCTACGTTCAAGAAATATTGGAGTTCCATGATCTATTCGAATGGCGAACGTTTATTGGAACTAAAACATGACTTCTCTAAATCTTGTCTGTCAACAAAATACCTCGTCTTTTCACAGATAGGTTAAACTTGAAGAAATATTATAATTTAAGTGAGCTCAAGTCATAGGCCAACCAAAGAAAGTAATTCTTGATACTCCGATTAAGCAAAGAACTAGAGCTTTAAAATATCCGCATTCATATCGGCAAAGATTGATATTACTATTGCCCATGCAGCTCACTAGATATGCACTGGTGACCGCTGACTTTGTTGAAGTAAAAACTGACCACTACGACACCATTCTGTTACAGATTTAAGCGAAGTAGAACTCGATTTCAATGGTGGAAAGGAGATTTACCTCATTGCCACTCATTCCTCTTCGTTTCCCACCAAGCGTATGAGCCCGCATCGAGACACCGGAATTGTCAACGTTACGATCTACAACATTTTCGCCGGATTTTCCAGCATAGCCGCGAGCAAAAGTACTGGCCTGGCCTGGATAGCCCTCAGTTGCGACGCAGCCGGCTGACACGTTGTATCCCCTACCCAGAGTTCCCACATTGGAGATTATTTCCGCTCTGCAAGCAGAAAGAGACGGGAGCGGGTTAAGTTTTACCGTATTTATCATTGACAAAATGGGGTGTGCGATAGACTTACCTCCTCGTGGTGCACCCTGGGCAACGTATACTTATACGGCAAAAAAGTCTATTTACCCGCAGTTGACTTCTCACTTCAAACTACCATCACCCCCACTGTATGTCATAATCGACCCCTTTCACAGTACTCATCTTACCCTTTCTGAGCCTTTGTGTCTGTCTGTTTCTATTACATCTATGAATCACTCTTTTGTTCCTCCTACCCTCTGTGAAGCCCGAAGTCAACTAAAGGGCTAATGATAACTATGAAAACGCCTGCCATTTGTTATAAATAAATCATTGGCAGAATAATTCATCCCAGCACCTTGTTCAACCCACAGATTTGAATTATTTAAACCACGGATAATGTCACTATGGCTGGGGATGATTACCTAATTCCCCATATATTATTGTCATATCAAATGGCAGACTCTATGACATTTATCTTTAGTCGCTTAGTTGACTTCGGGCTATATATATATATATATATATATATATATATAGGCTCCAAGTGTCCCGTAGACAAAGTATACTCATACGTCAAAGTCTATAAACGGGCAGCTGACTTCAAACTATCATGACCAGCCTGAAACGAATTGTCCGCATTTTTAACCTATTGATTTTACCCCTCCAAAACATGAACGCATCACATACACCTTGCAATATTTTGGATTTTAAAATAAAATAATGACGAAATTAAAGCAACTCTGTAAATCAGGCAAAAACGCGTGAGTAATGGCATATTTTTGAGGGTGACTAAAACCATAAAGGTGAAAAATGGGCAGAGCTTAATTTAATTGCTGTTTTATTAAGTACAGGCAGGAAGGTTTGCTTTGACTTAGATAGCTACGAAAGCACTTAGCTCCACAGCATTGAATAAAGGTCAGATTGGGTAGTGATGTGGTCTGACGCATCTTAGAACCTAAATATGCTATTCTAAATGTCAGAATCAGTGAGTGTGCGCACCAAGTGAAGAAAAAAAAGAATTGGTGTACTTACCGAGATGGGCCAACATTCTCTTCCAGTATGACATTTGAATCGCCACCTTCATTCAAGAAAGCATCCGGTTTCTTCTTTCGCCGAAGAATAATATCAATGTAACCGGATATGAGCTGGGAAATCTGTTCACCTTCTGTGGTCTGGATCACATAGTTGCCCTCTTGACTGTATTCACCAAAATCCTACAATTAAATAATTTGGTCTTTTACTTACGCCTTTTAAGAAACAATATTGACAAGGTTAAAAGTACCACTAGCGCAAAAATCACTTATCTTCACAGATAAAGTACTTAAATTGAGTTAGAGAGTACTTAACATTGAAACTGCAGTACTAACCAGTACATTTAAATATTGAAAGCGTAAGGAGTAAAATTTGTCCAATTATTTAAACACATATCTGGCATTCTAAGCAAATGAATGAGGAAGTAATCGACGCGAGATTTCCAAGCTTGTACCACGATAAACTTCCTTCCATGGGGAAAGTCAGTCAAATCCATGCGAATTGCCGTTCAGATTGGTTACATTTTCTTGCTCAAAAATTTTCCAAAAATAAAAGAATGAAAGCACCATTACCACCCCCCCCCCCACGTGGTGCACCCTGGACAACGTATACTCATACGGCAAAAAAGTCTATTTACCGGCAGTTGACTTCTCGCTTCAAACTACCATCACCCCCACTGTATGTCATAGTCGACCCCTTCCACAATACTCATCTCACTTTTTCTCTACCTTTGTGTCAGTCTGCCTCTTCTACATCTGCGAATCACTCTTTTGTTGCCCCTCTCGAAATTTTCTCACTTTGATGTTCCTCCCTCTGTGAAGCCCGAAGTTAACTAAAGGGCTAATGATAACTATCAAAACGCCTGTCATTTGAAATAATAATAATTATATTCTTCAATCATTTTTGTGGTTTATAGAATTACCTGATGAAGATGCCAAAGAGTGGTTGAAGCCATCCCAAAAAAAGAAATAAAATAAAAAATAAATGTCATTTTATTAAAGTATAACCAAAAAACAATCACAGAAATCGAAGTGGACTAGCATAGGAATTACCAATGTGAATATACTTATTGTCAATGAAGACAACTTACTTATGAGTGGTATAGCTATTAAGATAAGCTCGTAAAATGCATTGAACAAAACGAAATGTTACTTTAATCTAGCTTTCCTTACCATGTTCATTACCCACGACATTTTTATCCAAGTGGATCACCTTTCAGGAATCAAGTAAGGTCAGATAGATCGAAAAAGCACGATATAGTGCCTTACAATCATCATATTAATAATGTCAATAATAATAAAATATTGAAAATTAAGATTTCGACAAGTCAAGTTAAGCATTAGAACGAAAAAAAGTGGCAATCAAACTCAATTTTTATTAGATTAAAATCGCTAACAGTTTAATATTTATATGCAAATCAAAGTGGCTATATTTATTTAAATGTGCTAGTTGAACAAAAGCGGAGCTGACAAAAAAACATGAATGAGAAATTGAAACATACCAGAGTGAAGAGGTTAGCCGTGGCAGCCCATCGGCGAACACGTGTCAGCGGCCATGTCTGAAGGATCTCCTTGGTGTTCTCATCGACTCGCATAACACTCTCTTTGCTAACTCCAAATAATCGGGGCACCAGCTTGTTCTTTCCTGGTAATTTCTCCTACAAGAATGGAAGAGAAAAAAAAGTAAACACGATAAACCTAAATTATAACGGAGAGCAACTTTATGGCATAAGTTTAAGACCCATGGGGTGTGCGATAGACTTACCTCCTCGTGGTGCACCCTGGGCAACGTATGCTCATACGGCAAAAAAGTCTATTAACCGGCAGCTGACTTCTGACTTCAAACTACCATGGCCCGACTGCTTGTCATATTCGAGCCCTACACAGTACTCATCTTACCTTTTTCTCTATCTTTGTGTTTGTCTGCCTCTTTTACATCTGTGAATCGCTCTTCTGTTTCCCATCCCTCGACTTTCTTCTACTTTGATTAACCTTCCCTCTATGAAGCCCGAAGTCAGCTAAATGGCTATCGAAACGCCTGCCATTTGAAATAAATAAATTTTAAGACCCATTGAAGGAATGCATATTCGAACATTCATTTTGGGCAGTGGAGTACAATTTTGAAGCCTCTTTAATGAATTTATTTATTTATTTATATCAAATGGCAGGCATTTTGACGGTTATCATTAGCCCTTTAGTTTACCTCAGGCTTCACAGAGGGGAGGGAACATCAAAGTGAAGAGGGGGGACAGAAGAGTGTTTCAAAGACGAAGGTAAAAAAAGGTGAGGTAAGTACTGTGGAAGTAGTCGAATTTGACATTCAGTGGGGTCATGGCAGTTTGAAGTCAGAAGTCAACTTCCGGTTAATAGACTTTTTTGCCGCATGAGTATACGTTGCCCAGGGTGCACCACGTGGAGGTAGGTCTATCGCACATCCTACCCCTTTAATGAAAACAGTACGCTTTTATGACCTTCACGACTACTTTTGATCTGTACGGTAAAACAGTTCAAGTGATAGTTCAAAGATGAGTGTCAAGCCTCAAACTTCATAAAGGAAAAAAATTGGCATTAATAAAAAGGTTCCCACATAACTATCATAAATGGCATTTTCAAATGAACTAGAGGGAAGCATTTTTATGGAACTCGTCTGATTAATAAAACCACATTCCATTGCCATTTTACTGACCAGCAATAAACCTGAGACCTAATAAGAAACAGTCATTAATCTATTTAGCCTTTGGTGAAAAATAGATAAAATGGACCATTTACCTCTCACACCTCCCATTGAATTTAGTGGCTTTACCAACTGGCAAAGTCGAAAATTTCAAGGTATATGATCAGTAGCTAGACCTCAATAATGTTATAACGATGAGCCCTCAGGAAACTCAACATTTCGCAGAAAATTCGATTAGCAAAGTACAAAATACAGTTTGTAGAACAAAACAGACAATATTTTCGAATTCACATTTCGAGAAAATGGCGACATTATGCATTACCCCTGGTTACGAAGGGCTATTTCCATTGTTACTTACAACGCAGATCCTCCAGTTGATTAGACCTACATCAATCCCTTTTCAAAACTCGCATTCTATAGCACCTCATGGTGGGCTAAACCAGATATTTTGCTAGATGTGTGCCAATAAGCATCGATTTCGTGATTAAGCAGATAGGTGCGTTATTTTAATTGTCATTTCTAGGGAGTCAGGGATATCACAACTAGACAAATCTAGCGCCTAAACAATCGTACCTGGAAAAAAATGTGCTGCCTTGTTCATGTTTTTCCAATTTCGGCATGATTAATCTTTTAGATGCAGATGACTTAGGATGAATGAATCATTAAATTGATTAGGGAAAAACTGCGTGTGAAAGACACATAATACAACCATACTTCAAAATACTTTTCTTCTTATCTAATTATGGTGCTTTGTAATGATACTCCCTCATTTACAAAAGTCATTCCTACTATGATTTGCGTAAACAACTTGCTCTTAAAGACAAAGAAACTCTGGTTTTGACAAGATTTCATAAAATTCGCTGATCCGCTTAATTTTTAACGAGTTTTGGTACAAGCATTAGGTGTCAAATAGTTTTCATAAAAAGGTACACATAAAAGGGAAATTTTAGTTAAAATCTGACTGGTACTTATGCTCTCATCTTAACTCAATCGGGTACTCATTTCGCAATCTGTGACCTTGAGGGTGTTTAAATCGATCTGAGCACATATTTAAACAAAAAATTTCCAGGCACTTGAGTTCTAACAATTGCCTTTCAATCTTCATAATGTCCCTATAAATTTGTGATGTACAAGATTTCATTCCCAAACACGTCCAAGGGGCAAAATTTTCATAGAACCAAGTGCTCCAAAAAATATGTACATAAAGCTTTGTGAATTCCGTTGGGAGTATCGAAAATGTTTGATTCATTCTCCTAGCAATGCTAGTGTTCAATAAATGTTTGGTAAGACGGAGGTTTAGAATGAGGATAAGAAACACCACACAGCGTCAGTTTATAAGTCTGAGGTGGTGCGAATTCCGTGGAAATTTATACAAACGCCAAAACCAATACCCATTAAAAGCAATCACTCAGAAGTCAACATCTTGAGGACAAAGACACGAAATACTATCCAATCTTTTACTTACTTTCTCTTATTTCTAAACAGCGATTCCTGAAATTTATATACCTTGTCGTATTATAGTTACAATGTTGACAGAAGCCTATTTAAATGTCCAAATAGTACCTTTTCAACAATTTTTAATTGAGCGTACAAGCTAATGCTATGTAGATATCAATTAAAAAGAACAAATCTACGCAAAATAGATATGAATTAAAAGATACTATTTGACCTTCATGCATTTGGCGTGCCGAAAATTAAATAGTAAATTAATTAGATTTTGATAATGGAATATAACAGCTAAACGCACATAAATGAAAACAAATTAAAGAAAATAAAGTGCAATTTAACAACAAAACTGAATAGATTTCCCATTAAATTTCCATATCCTTTACAACTATTTCATTAAATCTGACCGATTTGGAATCGATTCTTCTAACTAAACTGTATTGGTGGTGCCTAGTCTCACAATAAAAATTCTCTTTGAGGCACCGAAAAGTAAGATTGACTGACCACTCCTGTAATCAAGACTGTTCCATTTGCTTATCTAAACAATTGTCGTTGATAAAAAAAATACAACGATTTGAATTAGTGAAGACTGGAATGATCGACTGACTACTTAATGAATCCAGATGATCTGAAATTCCGTCGTTGTAATAGATCATAGAAGCAAACTACACAGACAGAATGGAAAGAAAACCGAGTTGACCGGTTGTCAGACCTAGTTCTTCCACCACTTAACCACTGCCACATGATGATGGAAAATTCAGGACACCCAAACATCCACCATCAGTCAGTCGAGCAAATGTGAACATGTACACTAGGGCTGATGACTCATTTTCGGCCACCAGGTCGTTGCCCGAACACTTGATGTTATACACGGGAGGCTGCAATGAGAGAGGGAAGTAATTCGTAAGGAATTATGAGACCCAATGAAACAACAGAAATTCAAATTGAGAGGGAGGGGGGGGGGAGCTAGACTAAAGGACAAATGTCAAAGACAAAAACTGCTGCTTAAATTGAAGAAGGCTTCTCTACTCAAGCATCCAAAATTATAACTTTGCTGAAAAATTCATTTTATATCAGATAACTGATAATCCGTTTCTAGAAACATGAGTTCAAGCTATTTAGAACAGTCTTTCGACCAGACGTCGGCAAAATTAAGCCTCAAACAAAACAAGCTACATCAAATATCACAAATCTTGGGGAACTCGCAAACACTGAGACACCAATCAAAACCCACGAAAAATTTCTAACTTGGGGGGGGGGGGGCAGAAACGACTGTCAACGGTGACCTACCACCCTATCAAATTCATGACATAGAAGTTAGTGCTGATTTTCTAATGCAAAAATATATATATATATATATATATATATATATATATATATATATATATATATTATTTGAATTTTCCAATATGCAAAGTTCACATTTCCAACACGGACACATGGATTGCTTTATCCACGAAAAATGGTTTCAAGGTTTAGTTTCCGGGTAATTAGAATTCCCAAGAAGTGAACTTTAACTAATTGAAATGTGTTGCCTGGGAGTGATTATTTTGAGCCCACTAGCATATGCCATAAAAAAGTGAAAGGCCTGGGAAAGCAATCAGCTCATAAGTGCGCAGGCAATTGCTGTGACGGTCAGGCAGATCAGGTGATGTCAATCTAGACATGGGGCGGGGGTGGGGGTGAGAAGGGGGAGAGTGAAAATAAGGGGGATATTACCACTTCATTGTATGGCAATTAACGCATCTTCAAATAGCAATTTTAAGTCAAAGGAGACTGATGGATTCAAATTAAAGACTCAATTTGATAGACTTCTGAAACTGTCATGAAATAGCCAAGAAGTCAACTAAAGGGCTAATAATAACTATCAAGATGCCTGCCATTTGGTATAAATAAATAAATATTACTACGATGGTCTACAAAGTCAAAGACCGGCGATATAGACAAAGTGAAATGAATAATTAACAGCACTTGTAATGAGGGCGACAAATATGAACGCGTTACTTCCCTGCTCATGACGAGCGTTGGAAAAAAGTACATAAGGCATTTGAATCCTCAATAGCATCCCATCCAAACAGTGAGCTCAAGCTAAGGGGTTTGGAAACCGGCTGTTCGAAAACAAAAAATAGAGACGAATCAAAGAAGAAACTCATGTTCAAATCACTCCAATGACTGTCAAGAACTGTAATAGAAAATATGATCACGAATTCAACAATGGAGCTCCGAATATACTAAGTAACCGTTGGCAAATACTTGTAAGTTAAACGATTTTGAGGTTATAATTCCATGTAAATAGCGACGTTTCACCTAAATCCATTTCATAAACAACTGATTAATTACTAATTTGTCCGAGCTTACAGCTACTACTTCTCAATCATTCTGCAAACCTTACACCCTCATTAATTGTGACTGATTCATATGACAGCTTGAATGTTACAACCATAGTAGGAAATTAAAGAACTAAAGAAGTTTATTACCTTAATTAAAAAAAATGTAATTCCATAGGTTGGTAAGGAACGACACACTTGGATATACCGCACTTTGGCATCCTTTTCCGACAGACCATTAAATTTTTGATATTGCTAAAAGAAGAAAATAAATGTGTTCACTTAATGTTTTAACACCATGCGCACTTTCCATTGGCCGAAAACAATAAATGCAATAGAGAGCTAATGTGTGGGCGGAATTTGTAAATCTGATTGGTCAGATTTCTGAAAACGAATTAATGTTTAGTGCGTCAGCGCGTATAAATGAGTCAGGCCACACGATAGATAGCCGCCCAAAAATAGTACATTGTGATTCGAGTGTATTTAAACAAAGCGAGCGCGTAGGCCAAAGATGAGTGGATAATTTATTGGGTCAAACAGCCAATAAAAGTGCTACCATGATTATTATACACCAAAATTATGGGCAATAAAGGGCTTTAGACTCACTTCTTTGATTTTCTTTTCAATACTCTTTACTTTACAATACTCCTTTGGCATATGCTCCTTTACACTAAAAAAAATAAAAAAGCATTTAAGTTATAAAAAGCAAATTGTATATTTTGTTTCAATGGTTATAATAAAACAGTTCAATGTAAACCTACTCAATGCTTGTTGATTTAACTTTTTCCGGAATAAGATTTCCCATTTCTGCTTGACATTGTAGACCAGCCAGTTCAATAGCCTGGCTGAGACTAATTGGATGCGCGCCATTCAGAATAGCCTCCTTGAGCTAGTTAATTAGATAATAAACAACCATGACAAAATTTTACTTGAATAAACAAGAGATTTAATTGAACAGGATCTCGAGCTCCAACATTTTGATCAGAGAAGAAGTATTTGCGCTGAAGAAGGAGATTATCTGTTTCTTCGATGCCCAATTGACGGAAAGTTTTGGCATGGGACAACCAGTTAGCTAGAAAAGAATAAGATATTCAAGACGATAACCTACCACCGTCATCCGTTTGGAGTTTGTGTTTTAAAGTTTCCAATTTATCATAATCTCTTGGAGCATTCTTCGGCCGACGCATAGTCTGTAGTCTGCCTTTTTCGTGAATAAGAGAATATTCTTCATGGTTAGTTATACCTTTAAAAATAAATAAATGAAGCTTTTTAATAGTGAGAATTAGAAGTCGAAAAAGGAGACAAAACACCCACCCATTTTCCCACATATCACGACCATTAAATCGGCAATCGTTTTACTATCATCAACCTGAAGAGTCTTTCTCGTACCATCTAGTGTGCTGACTACTACTCGACGTAGTTTGGACATGTAAGCAACATCCATCTATAGATAATGAACAAAAATGATGGTATAAGCTTACTCCATCTTGCAAGTGATAGTAGGAGAGCAATCTTGAACTCTCAAGCCAAAACGAATGTTTGGGATCGGGATCCTCAACAAAAATGCCATATTCTATTTAAATAAAAAGTTGATGCTCATAAAATACCTGGACCGCTTCCTGCGTTTTTTACGGTGGCCTGAATATGCCGACAGAGATCAAAGACTGTAATATCCAAGGGAGTTTTAAATGTAATAGTCTTATTTAAATTGGTTATTAAGAGATTTAGCGCAATAGTAGCCATCGGAAGACAGGCTCCGCGACTACTTCAAAAAATCACTGGCGGGATCAAGGCTGAAATGTAATAACCAATAGGTTATAACAAGTATTGTTGTGCAAAGTTTAAGAACTATTTTAGGAAATTAAAAAAATTTAGACCAAAAAATTTAAAATAGACGTCATATAGAATTTTCTATAATACTATATCAATTATATTTACGTAATTAGAAAATGCATCTGAAATATAGAGCACTGCTTAAATAACTCATGAATATGCATTAATTATAAGAGTCCATAGAAGTCGTTTACTTAAAAACCATCTTAATTAAAAATTGTGTTCTTAATCAGTCAATTTCTAAGAGATCTTTCCAAACCACATGCATTGGCCCATGGCAAACATGTAGGGGAGCATAAAAATTTTTTTGAGTCTTAAAGTAAAAAGACATTTATAATCGATTATATTTTTCATTTGCCCTGGAAAAATCGATCATGAGTGGACTAATGACGAACATCAATATGAATGAACATGAATAAATTTAAAGCTATACGGCTCTTTTTCTATGGAGCTTTATATTACTTGTTAGTTCTCTAGAGTTCATGTGTACCAAGGCGCTTTCATAAAAAAAGCAAAGAACATGTGATTCAATTAAAATGACATATTGCTCAACCATGAGAATTCAACAGGTCTTCAATTTCATAAATTTGTTGGAATATTAATATTATTTATTGCATATATACACTAGTTGATTTTCTTGTAATATTTCAAAATTCTAAAATTAAAAGTCCTATATCGGAATGTTATCAGAAAAAGGACTGAAAAGGCCTTCAACAATCATAGTCTTACAATTTGCAACAAAGCACTGACACAACCTTAAATTGAATAAAAAATGAAAGCAGTTTTGTGCATAGATAAGTCTTGAAAGCGGGTGGTAATTTTTTCCCTTTGATTTATCGTACTAAATAAATTTGTTAAAGCAAACTACTTTCATAATTTATGTTTTGATTTAACTTGTGTCGCGTTTGAACACATTTCAAGGCTGAAATTCATAGCAAATTATCGAATTAAATGATATTATGTTTAGGTGTTTATAACAAATAACAGCTATAAATTAGTATTTTGTAACCTAAAAAGGTATTTGACTTTGATACTGGCGGAATTTCCCATGTCTTGCACAGGCAGCTGCGATAGAGGGATACTTGAAAGGTGGACAGCTCCGATAAATACTTAACAGATATATTTCAAACGGTAATCAGAAACATTAAGCTTGCTAACCGTTTTCAATACAATTGAATTAAATACATTTTAGGTCAAAGTCTGCTTTCATAAACTTCCCTTTTCCGTACACTAGAGTAAATTCATGGACATGAACTCCAAATTTGGGCCATATCTGCGATTTTACCTTTTCCAAAGTTCAAAGTATAGCTCATACGGATTATTGTTTAAAGATATTTTTGATTAAAATTAGCGTATTTTTATTCATTTTTTAATAAATAGCTTCTGATAAAATGCATAATCAAATGTTTATTTGGTGAGTGATTAGAACATTGCAATGTTGAAAACAGGGGTAATGACAAACATTATAAAGCCTGACATTTGAAATAATAATAATAATATTAAAAAACAATTACTAGAAATTATATGGTTGTTATAGAAAATTCTTCTTTACTTATTTATTAATGAAAATTTGATAGAACATTTATTACATATTATAGAAATTCAGTTTGTTTGAATGCTTCAAGTTAAATCTGATGAAATTATACTACACTGTACAATATTTTTTATACCCCTCAAGGCGTCCGCAGGTTTTTATTTCTATTGTATTTATAAATTTTTGATTTACAAAATATCGAAGTTTCAATCGGTTTTTTATATATGCGCTTAGTTATAAATAGCATTTATTTCGTCATCTACCCGATATTTTTATCGGATCAGGTCAATACTGTTTTTGAATTTTATTTAGAAATGACAAATACAACCAATCCAAATGGTGAAAGTGGAACTATTGGATACAAGCGTGACACTAAATGCAGGTTAATATTTTTAATTTTTCCATATACATATCACAAAACATTAGGATCTTCGTAAACAGAAGTCTTCGTCTGGATTCTATCCGTTTCTTTGGTTTTGATATGGATTATACACTTGCTCGTATGTTTGTCTTCCCATTGTCTTAATTACCTCTCCAAGAATACAAATCTCCCGATTATGAGGAACTGGCTTTTCAAATTTGCCGTGATCGTCTGGTTGCAATCGGATATCCCCGAGAATTGCTTTCTTTTAATTATGAGGCTTCATTTCCCATTCGGTATTGTTCAATATTGTAAATTAAATTATCGTATTTTAATCTTATAGAGGTCTTTGGTTTGACACCCGTTATGGAACGTTTTTAAAACTGGATCAATTTGGAAACGTATTGGTTTGTCTTCGGGGATTTAACATAATTACTGCGTAATTATTTTATTTTTTATCTATAATTTTGTCCATAGAGAAGAACTAACAAAACTGTACCCTAATAAGTTTTTGAAATACGATGAATCAAGAATTGTCATTATGAACACACTATTCGATCTTCCAAGTTAGTGACTTAATCTAATGTTTTTATTTTTTTCACACATTTATTCTATTTAAAATTTCTTACAGAAATCTATCTTCTATCTTGTGTCATTCATATGTTTCATAATGATGATAAATACTTGAAAACGGAGAACGGAATTCAACTTGATTCAATCTATATGTCTTATCATTCTATTTTCGACGACGTTGATTCGGTTCTTGATTGGATGCATCAAGTAAGTTTGCCTTTTCGTAATTATTTATAACTATAATTCCTATCTTTCTCGAAGACCATTCTTTAACTCCATTTTCAATTATGGTTAGTGCTGTGGAGAATGCTTTCGCGTTCATTCTTTTGTGTACACTAATGAAGTTAAATTCAATCCGTATGAAAATAGATAGTAGAATTTGCCTTGAAGGTGAAAAAAAATTGGTTGGGGGATTTTTATCGAACAGAATTTTCAATTTACCTTATTTTTTCCGTCTAAATAACATAACTGACGTATTAGGGATTTAATCCTTCTTTTGTTATCCCAGCATCTCGTTTTTTTCTGTGCGCTTTCCGTATTCCCATTGACACTGAATGTCAACTATTTACATTCATAAATTATTTCTTGCCAATGGTTATTTCAATTTTCTTAATTAAACCACAATTCCGGTTATTTAAACGAGTTTTTCTATAATTTTTTAATGAAATTTTAACAACTTTGGGACTCGGATATAATGAAATGTATTTTGTGCGAAACTCATGTTCCTTCACCACAGAATTATCCATCGTAAATAGTCATCTGTTTTCCTTAATGCATTTCTAAAGGAATTGAATTAGTAGCATCTAACTTGACTACTAAGTTGAATTAAACCAGTGAAGCGGATTGTTGGAAATAGCATTTTCTTTTGGTGGTTGAATGGATGACAGCGGTTTGAGACTTGTTCTCTGCTTCCTTATTATCTCAGTCCATGCACAGAAATTAGCTCGATGAATTTAGTAAACTAATTTAACTTGTTTTTTGGTTATTGGAAGTATATTAAATGTGTTGGATGCCCTTTTAAACTAATCCACCACATAAAGATCATGAAATCCTCGCGCAAACAAGTAATCATCATGCAGAGCAAATTATCATTCTCTTTTCTAGGTGTGTATGCTGTTCATATTGTCCTTTTGACCTCTTTCCTTGTCTTTCGGGCATTTTTTCTCTTTTATGATTTATTTCTGGCATGTGCTTGGGGTCTTTCTACAAAAGAACTGTCAGGTTGAGACCAGTAGGACACTTAGAGGCTAATGAAGTTGAATTTACTGACAGTGTAAATACATTTTCTTGAACTCTCAATATAACTTGAGTGAATTAATCGTAAACGTATTTTTGCTTAGCTTCTTGGTAATGCTAAAGCACTTTAATCGCGAAAAGGTGTTCGAAAACACGATGTTCCAAAACAGTCCACTGGGGAAATTGGTGGAACTGGGTCGAATGTGAATATGTTATAAAGTTAAGAGACTCATTTATGTGAAGTGTCGAGTGCATGGATTTTCCATTCTCCCATAAGGCGTGTAATTCACCATGTAATACCCAAATATTTGAAAGCTCAGCATTCTCAGTTGGAAAATTGATTTTTTGAGCGAGTTTATGTACCGATTAATAGGCTTTAAAAATTCGTTATACTGCTGTGATATAATTTATCCCCACTCAACCCCACAACAAATATACTAGATTAGGTGAAAATATCAACGAAATTCTTGTTTTTTTACGTATTTAGGGCGAGCTGAAAAAGAAGACGGTGGAAAATTTGGACAAATACGTGGAGAAAAATAAAGATTTACCACTTCTTTTGGATAGGCAAGTTCATGCTAACACACTTTAGTAGAGACCAACATTTGTTTTTCAAATTCATTTATCATCAATAGGCATTTTCTCCTTTTTTTGTTATTGAAGTATTCCCCTCTCCCCCCCCCCTCTCCATCCTCTCGAAGGGTGGTTTGTTTCATAAAAATTTCAGTATAATTGTTTACATGGAACACTTTTCCTGGGAATTATAAAAAGCCTTATTGGTCGTGCGGATCGTTCAATCAGGTCTTTGCATCGTTAGTAATATTAGAGCACAATTCTCTGTGAATATAGACTTAAAAGATGGGCTCGCACTTCCATTCAACTCTCGTCTACGTATAGTTTAGTATAAAAAATGCACTTTCTTAGAAGCATTATTACTTCAAATCGTTATCAATTTGCGTGACTAAATGTAACATTATTATACTCAGTTGTGTGGTTGTGTTGGTTCATCTCTTGGTGTAACTTTTACAATTATTCCTGACCCACTTTCTACGCGAACTTGCCGACATCCAATAATATTTTTAGTCTTAATAGTCTTTCGATTTTTTTATTTCGTTTGCTATTCTGTCTGTACCTGTGATTCTCTCCCCAATTTCTGCTTTTCTTCCAAAATGATTAACTACAATTCAGTGAACAGCATTATTGATTTCACGACGACTTGTTGTAAGGCTTCTAGCCTCCATATGTGAAGAGTGCGCTGGAAGTGTTTTTTGCTTGAAGAGTCCTAATCTTTTCAAGGCCCATAACAACGCTTGTTTTCCTTCAATACCACAATAATCATCTTATCCAGAAAAGTTATCGGCTCTACTCTAGAGTGTTACCTCCCTATCCTGTTTCCTTAAAGAAGGAGGTTTTATTTTGAATCAAATTATACAATTCGGTTGAATGGCTTCATTGTGGTTTCGCTTACAGGCTTCGCAGTCGAGGTGCGAAAGTTTTTCTCCTCACAAATAGTGATTTCGCCTATTCCCAGGTAGGCCAATTGTGCTATTTTAATTATTCACCTTTGAGTAATTTAATAAATTTCTTTACTCTATTTCCTAGGCTATTATGAAGTATATGTTGGAAAATCCTAATGAATCTGTATGTTGGAGATCTTAAGGTCATTTAATTTTACTTCTGTATCGATATTACTTTTTCGCTTTACTTTCAAGGGTGAAATTCGTCCATGGACATCTTACTTTGACTTCATTCTTACTGATGCCAAGAAACCTCTCTTTTTCGACGAAGGTACGATCCTTCGAGCTGTGGATGAAGTAAGTCTACAAATTATTCCATCACCCCCTTGTAGCCTCAGTACCAGGTGGCCAATCAAAAGACCAAACTCTCATTCAGTTCATTATCCAGACCATATTAATTACCAGTCTCATAAAAGCAATTGAGAATTAGTGTGTTAGAGCCTGAATGCCATGTTTTCAAATGTATTGGTCGACTGTTTTGTGAAACTCTAATTGGTATGCATCAACGGCGGCTTCAATAAAAGACTAAAATTTAATTGTCAAATAAATCGATTAGGGAGTGTCATCCTAACTCAACCTTTACTACCTTACGTTTCGCATTGTGTTTTTTAGTTGAGAAGTTGACACTTTATCGCCAATTTATGAACAGCTACGACGATTGTTTCCAATTCTATTTATATTTTGTCTTTTTCGACGGCTTAATTTTCGAATACGCCTATAACCTAGAATTAACAGAATGTAGATGTCACTCTTGTCAAATTCCTCAGTCTTTGTGATTCTTTATAGGTCATCATTAAGTCATTCCGTTCTTTTTTTTCACATTTCCATTGAATTTGGCAGATCGGAAATTTCGTCCATGTTCCTTATTTGTACTAAGTTGAAATGAGGGTACTGCTAAAAATTCTACTTGCGAAGGGAATATTTGACATTCAACGCGCTATTTAACTGGCTGGAGATTTTTGGTCGTGAATCTTCTGATCATTTATAGTTACAGGTATTACTTGTTCCTGAGAAATCTTCAGGAATCGAGATATTTCAGAACAGTCCCTTCCTTTGGTCGTAGCTTTGAAGACGATTGCTTATCAGGTGTGATCGAAATCATTATTAGCATTGGTTTGTATTGTTTTGTTTGAAAGTGAGGTTAGAGGTTTCATTTGTCTGAATTCCACTTATTTTGTGCCCAATCTGCAAGTCTCACTCATTTCCGCTATTAATTAGTTAATTAGCCCACGTTCATTGTAGTGCAAACAAATCGATTAGTCAGTGTTGGCCTGCAGGAGTTTTTTTGTGAGAGAAAAACTATCTTTTGGAAAGTGCAATAAAACTTTTTTGCGTTCCTTCTGTGTTGTGCTGTCAGAAGAAGTTAACTTATGTGTCGGGCCTTTCGCGCTTGACTCAGCTTACTATCAATGTTTTTCCTTGAAGAGTTTTTGCCACTGTACCAAATTTCATTTTGGATGTTCTTTAAGTTGACGCTGAAATACAGTAAATTACTCAGCCTCCATAGGACAGAAATAGATCTGAATAATGTTCAGCTATAGAATGATATTAATTGTTTGGAAAACCCGGAAATTGAGTGGTTGATTGATATAATTTCGGCATTTCATCAACTCACTTGCCCGTTAATTTCGTTTCAGAATTACTCATTAATTAGTTGATGGTTTTTAATTCGATAGTTGGCTATCTTTTTTCTTGTCGCAGATATCTTCTTTTATTCTAATGGAATTCTGCGTCACTTCAATTATGAGCCATCATTTTGGTTTTTTGCCATGATTCAAGAATGAAGTTTACTGCAGTATTGTTATTCACGGTCCCTCTTGAGGAGAGTCGTTGCAATCTGCTTACGGTTATAAAATGAATGTTAAATTAGTTTAATGTTTTTTATCTCTATTGTTACTTTCATTTTATCCAAATATGCCTTTCGGGCAAAGAGATTTGTACTATTTGGGTCTGGGGCAGTACTTTCGAAGATTTCGCTCTAAGGCCTAGGAGTCCTCATGAGGACTATTTCTGCTTTCTAATTAAAACACCCGTTATCTTATATATTTGAGCTTAAATTAATTGTTGTTAATCATGGAACTAAATTTATAGAAGTCTAAATTAAGGCGTATTTTGTAGGCACTTATCCAACAAACCATTGGAATCAGTGTTGACTGACCCTAAATCATCTGATAGAAATCCCATGTTCATTGGGTTACTATTTTTAGCCTTGAAAATTTGGGTCTCAGTTTTACATGGTTCAAGGCAAACACGTCTAAATACCAAGATTAACGATCCATAACTTATTTTGTTAAGATTTGTAATCAATAAGTAAATGAATACACGATGTTATTAGAACTAAGAATGCACTTAATGGTAATCCATTGAGTGCACAAAGATTTTGGTCATTCGTTTTTCTACAACTCCATCAGACGCGAAATCTATCACGTTGGCGATGTGATTTTCGAAGCTCTTTACTCATTGAAATGTGACCAGCTTGTCAGTGGCATCTTAGTAATTTGATCACATGGGAGATTTATATAGATTAACAAGCTATTCGAGACCACTCTCGTGAGTGCTTTCAGAAATTAAAACTTGTGACCAATTTCTATAGCCTGCAGCTGTCCTTTATAATGCTACACACACACTGTTCCAACTCAAGGAAGAGGAAGGAGAAAAGGCTTGCGACTCAAAGAACATCCCACCAATCGGCTGCCTAGTTAGCCACCATTTGCTCCAATGGGTTCTTCGCTGGTGGCCTTACGAAGTCCAACAATGAATATTTCAGTAAAAGGGTACTCTTAGCATACTCGATCGAATGCTCCGAAGATAGTCGAGTTATAGCACTGAACCAAATTTGTGATTCTAATTGGGTTATTTTTAATATCACCTAAGTTTCTTTGATAGATTTTGTCTATCCCACTTTTACATGTCCAGCGTCTTGAGTACCAGCTTCTCAATCGGTGATTCCACGTGCTCGTCTCAGGACGTTTCTTTCTGTGATATGCTTAGAAATTTTGGGCACACTTGTATAAATTAATACCAGTACACATTGTGTCAAGACGAAACCCACTTTCTCTTCCATTAGCCGGCGGGCAGATTTTTTTCAAGCGTGAACTACAAAATGAGCAATGGAAATGAGCGAGTTGGTGGGGGTATATGGGACAGAAATAAGAAACAATGTGTAGGGGGTCTACAAACCAGCCCTACTTATGTCGAGCGTATTCGTCTGACAGTCGTTAGTCAAGCGACTGATTAAAATGTCCCCTTTCGATAATTGGGGTACGCACTAGTCAACTCTCAATATAACTTCGTTGTAGATTTGTAATTATTTTCAATGAATACCTCTCCTAAAATTGGGACTCGCTCTTTTTCAGAATACGGGGCGTCTGTCAATTGGTCATCATGTTGGTCCCCTTCAAACTGGCAAGATTTATTCTGGGGGTAAGCCTTCTATTTATATAATTTATCATAATTCAGCTCACTAGAACTCATTAAAGTAGCCTTCACTTATTACATTTTAATTGGAAAATTACCCGTCTCCGCGATTTTGCTGGGTGCTATCTGACTTAACGATCTGATTAGGTTTCTCCTATGCTACAGGAGGAAGGCAGTATGCCTACACCCCGTACGACCTTCAACGTTATTAATTATAGTGCTACCTTTATGTGGCTGGCCAGAAATGCAGTACCTAGGGCATGTATTTAATCTGATTACTCTGGTGGGAAAAATTTCGTTCTCGCATTATTTGTATGGCAACGCAAACTTCAGTTACTAATTCCTATCTGAAGTCTGCGTGGACTATTAAGAGCGTGAAAGTGTTCACCCTGTGTGCTTCAAAATAAGAAAAAAATGACAGCTACTAATTTCTGGTTGGTGACCTTTCCGCTTCAATCAATTTTTAATTGACCATTTCAATTACTTTGGGTAGTTAAAACTGCAGATTAGGACAAATGTGTATATTTATAGTACCCGTTTGTTCACTCCTAGGCCTGTTTAGGGGAACCGCTTTCTAACGATCAGCAAAGTTGACCATTCTGTTCATTGGTCATCTAACTCGTGATTTCCCGCTTCAGGGCCTAATCATGGGACCACCAGTGCCTGTTTACGTAATTTTAACGACCCACTAGAAGGCATTCCCTTTGGAAAAAGCACTTTGTGCTTAACCGGAAATAATTTATTGGGGTAGTAACTTTCCTGTTGCTAAACGGTAGGCGACTGAGGCCACTATCCCCAACGTGCAGGCCTGTTTCTGAACTGTCGTCATTCAGGTTCACTGTGAAAAGAATGAAGTTTTTAACAAAATTAATTTGATTTTTAATGGCCTTGTCTTCTATTTGCGATATCCTGCGCATTTGCGCCTAATTGACATTTTTATTTAATACATTTGTTCATTAAAATTAGACATTGCCAATCCGTAATTGAATGACTTTTTATGTGGATATTGGCCTTTTCTGTTATTCTTTTATGCGTATTGAATCGGACGTACTTCTTAGGTTTGCCCTTTAAAAGAAGAGAATAGATTTTTTTTATCTCCAGAGCATTCTAATAGCCTTAATTTAAGTAGAAAGAGTATGGTAATCATTAGTAGAGTGAAAAATTCCCAACTAAACCGAAAACATTTTAACTCCAGACAGCTTTTACTGTATATTTTTGATTTTGTCCTTCGGTGGGACCCATTCACTTTCAACTAAGTTCAGTTTGATTTCACGTTTCATTTTCAAGTGCTGGCATCCATCAAAAAGACTGACTCTCGTGGTAAGAAGACATCGTGCTTATTTCAGTCATTGTCCATAGAAAGTGCTCCGTAAGCGTCTTAACGCTCGTCCTTCTTTGGTCTTCTTACGCGCACTTTACGTCTTTATAAATAACGTAGCATCGATGCTAAACAGATCTCAACGTAAGTGGAAAATTATGGTAGAACAAGCACGTCTATGGACTATTTGAACGTGGCTTAGTGCAGTTTGTATTCTTCGTCATTCCTTTAAATAGTTCGCGTAGTTTTGGATGATGTACTATTAGTCGATGCCTTTTTTCTACGGTATTTGCAACTACTATCGGCTTGCAAGCTAAATATGAAGAAGTAGAATTCATTATTACAAAAAGGTGCTGTTATTCAAGCTTATGAACTAAATCCAACTATGCAGAAAGAGCTAATATGTAACGGCTTTTTACTTTCATTAAGGTTCCTGTGAAGTCTTCACTAAATTAATCGGTGCCCGAGGCAAGGATGTTCTCTACACCGGGGACCACATTTTCGGAGACATTTTGCGCTCCAAGAAGAAGGTGGGTTGGCGCACCTTCTTAGTTGTTCCAGAACTCACCAATGAGATTTACGTGTGGAAGAAGAAAAAGGATCTCTTCGATCAACTTCAATATCTCGACCACAAACTTGCCGATGCTTACAAGTACTTATTTAAATTTAGTATTTAAAAGTCTGACTTTTTATGCATTTGCAGTTATTGGGTAAAGGGCAGTCAGCTTGTTCTTATGTCATTAAAATACGCAACAGTTGGACATCCGGTGAACTGGATTTTCGCTTTATCATAGTCAATGGAAATGCAGCAGATGTGAATTTGTCTTCATAGACTCCAGAATGCAATTACTCAATCCAGAATGGTATTAGAGAATCCTCACTCTCAAATCTGGGAATGTGAGAGTAGAGGTAGAGTTTGATAGAAAGATGCGTACGTTTGATGTAAAATGAGAATTTCCTTACACCTACCTTTATCTACGAAGAATACGGTCTTTGTGGTTGGCTGAAATCCGTACGAATTTCAAAGACTTAGTGGGGGAATGAGGCGGGGGTGGGGTGGGGTGGGGGAAGGAATTTGGGTCTTATGATGAGTCAGCTTCAAATGAGACGAACAAAGGATGATACCAGATTCCCGCAAATAATACGGGCAGCTTGAAATTTATGGCCATGCCATATAAAGCGATGGACTTTTAAGCCAAATTTAATTGAAACAGTTTCTGTGCTTGAACTAAAGAAAGCTCGCTTTTCAATTCGATTTAACTTTAATTGGAAAAAAATTTTAATTTACTTACCCATTATTCCCCCTTACCCCCTTTTATTATTATTACAATTTTTGACCTCTAAAATCATATAAGAAGTGAAGGAGGTTACTTCCAAAGAGAGAGAGAGAGAGGGGGGGTTGGGTGGGGTGGGGGTAAAGTGAAGGAATGAAAGTAAAGGTTAAAGAGGCATTAAAGGATCTTTCGCTTCTTATTGAAATTATGTTTCCTAAGGCTTTCTGCTGCCCATTTAAGATACTATAATTGTTATTGCAGGATCTGATATTCCAAAGTTCAAATTCTAGGATCTGTCTCCGAAATACCTCATGCTTTTAATTGAAACTATTTGCTTTTAATTATTAAATATTAAATTGAATAGTTCCATGCTTCATCTGATACCATACACTCCCCTTTCCTGATGGATTTATTCAGTTTCTGAACGCAATAGGAATTTTGACCTAAATTTCTCTGTCATATGACTTGATGCAATTTCTTCTAGGGACATGAATATTGAAACGTCAGTCCAACCAGATGTTGACAATTTACGAACCCAAATTAGGGTAACGTCAAAGTGACTTAATGACATCTGATCCCGACAGCACTTATATAATTACTCGAATTGTTTTCTTTCCCCCTGCAGAAAGTTGCTCAAGAAATGGAACGATCTTATGGTCTTTTGGGAAGCATCTTCCGATCTGGTGAGTCACTGCATTGGTGAAGTCATTTCAGACACGATTGATTGATCTAGATTCAGGCCAGTGATGTTTATTATCGACGCAGCGATTGATTCGAATTTGTGCGCTTCTAGTTTTCCTTTATTTGCCAAACTTGTTGAAGGTAGAAGAGAAAAATGCGAAGCATGTGATTAGGAAATTAGAAAGTGAAACAGTAACCACACTTTGGTTGCAGTTTCAGTGAAAATAACTAAAGTAGACTAAAATACCACTGCATTGGCCAATCCAGTCTATCAGATCTACGCTTCTCAAAAAAGCATATCATTTGTATAGAGTAAGCTATATATTATAATGTCGAAATATTCTGTTTCATAGATAAGTATTTAACATGGGCATATTTCCGGGTTTATTCTTTCAACAAATTTTGGCCCTCATCGACTTGTTTCTGCTTATAAAAAGAGAATCAAATATTTGGTGGATTTTGAAGTGAGATGTTTGTGTTAACGGAGACCCCTCTTTGCCTCACGATGCTGATGTATTTACATAACCGCTTTCAATGCAAATGCCAAATTGATTGGTTCTTGTATTTGTTGTGCCGTTTGGAAACTTATTTACTTACGACCTCTAGAAAAAGGAGTATCAAACAGAATCTGAGTAGAAGCATTGTGGAGTAGATTATCATATTTTTTTAAATTTTATCATTTTCAAGGAATTGTCTTGAAAAGGCAGCAAATTAGAAAAGAAGAAGAGTAATGATACTTCTTTTCCTGTTATAAAGCACTTTGTTAAGTTCAGTCTGAACTGACTTCCCAATTAAAAATGTAGAAAAAAGGTGAAAGTATCACTTCATTAGCTAAAGTTGTCAAAGGTGGGGGGTGATGACAAATTTAAATACCCCATTTTTTTCAGGTTCCCGACACACCTTCTTCTCATCACAGGCACTGCGCTACGCTGATATCTACTCCTTCAGCTGTTTCAATCTTCTCCATTACCCACTGTGCTATATGTTTCGGGCACCCACTATGTACATGCCACATGAATCCACTGTGTCTCACGAGGATTCTCACGTCGGTTCATTTGCCGACCTCGAGCATGTTCCTTGCAGTCTCCGACGTCGCTCCTATGCAAGTGAGTATCGCGACTAGTAGCTTAAGCATATGAAATTCAGCCACGTTTTGTCTTTCCCAATCAATACCATAAGTTAAATAAACGGAGAATTGAAGAATAGTGACATTAGGTGATAAAATGACGGGTATTATTACCCAAAAATCGTTGAATTGATAAATGGCAAACCTGGTAGTTGCCTAATACGTAAAGAGCTTAAAGGTCATAGTGGGGACTTCATAAGGAGTGAAGGTGAGTTATATCTATAGCCAATCATATGTAAGCCCTCTATCTACAATGATAATTTATAAGAGGTTCTGGGATTTACGGTTTGCCGAGTTACATATTAGTACCAAAATCATCTCATTTTCTTTAATTTATTGCTCATGTTCAGGTAACGGAACACATTCAGGTTAGTTGCGTTAACACACGAAACCGTTGCGACTTTTTTAATCCAAATTTTTGTGTTGCGCTATTAATTATCTTCGTTGTTCGCTTGTATTTTTAAGAGTTTGACTGGTCGAAGAGACCAGTTGATTGGTGAGCATATTTAATAAAGAATATGGACACAATTTCACCAAATTTCTTATATGCGCACATGCGGATGTGTGTGTGGCTTCTCTTTGTGCTTTTCGCTTCAAATTCATCTTAGTTTTCATACACGTTTTCTAAATCAACAGATTAGGGGGCGGATGGCCTAATTTACTGTGAAATTTTACCCAAACTTGACTATTTTATTGCATCTTCAGTTTCTCCAACGAGTCCTTCATTTGTGTTACCGGAAGTCTGTCTGAAATCAAAGGGTATCTTGAATAGCAATCTGGTGAAAGAAGGAACGGACGAATGCGTGGAAATCTTACTAGACTGTGCCGATGTTGAATAGGCCTGTTTAGGGTGAGAAATTTCTCTTTTGCAAGCTTCTTATTCATAATGACTCTTGCTAATCGTTGTATTGGTTCGTTTTTTCTTTTAGAGCTGTTCTTTTGAGATAACTCTCTTTCCATCACCCCCTTCTTTCTTTCATTTTGGCACTTAATGATTATTCATTTATCATTTGGTGACTGTTGTCTAAACAAATAATTTCTTCTAAACCTTCTTAAATAGTGGCGAACTAATTCTTAATTTCCGCCCCAATAACATTCAGATTGTAGTATTTTGTTACAATTTGTTTGGTCACATTTCCTTGATCGCTATTCGGACCTGCTCCCGCCTGTCATGTAAATGAAATTAGTTTTTCATTTATGTGACAAAAATAACCCCTTAATTAATTTTTTTCAGTTTAGGGATTGAATCCATAAATATAATTCTTTTGGTTTTCTCTGAGTTTTTGCTAGAATGTTATTTCAAAGGCTGGCCCCATTATATTGCTAGTTGGATACTGAGACATCGATTTGGACAAAAATACGGATAAGATAAATTGTTTACTCCGACAACTGTTGAATGACTAGAAAAATGTAGTTGCCTGGTTGGTTAATAGTACAGCGGTGACGGTGCTTAGGGCCTAGCTACGAGGATAAAGCAACTGTAGTCGAAATTCCAAAGGTCATGTCTTTAAATTCGGTTCACATGCTTGCCTACTTGAATTCTCCACGGGAGGGAGTTAAGTAATTTTAATAGAATCCTACCCGCCNAATTTTTAAAAAAACCCCCCCCCCCCCCCCCCCCCCCCCAATATAATTCAAACTCACAATCCCAAAATATCCATAAAACTAGCAGCAGTGAGGAGATTGGAGATTAAATTTAAAGATATTCGAACTTTCTAAACTAGGCCAATTTGATCAAAGTATGGGCTTATTCATTGGCTCGAGCAAAGGATTTATTATTAAGTATTTATTTATAACAAATGGCAGGTGTTGTGATAGTTGTCACTAGCCCTTTAGTTGCCTTCGGGATTCACAGAGGGGAGGAGGAACATCAAGGTGAGAAGAATTCGGGAGGGGGAATAGAAGAGTGATTCACATATGTGAAAGAAACAGACATACACAAAGGCTCAGAAAGGGTAAGATGAGTACTGTGGTAGGNCCCCCCACCAAAGCGTATTAAAGACCGTAAAGAAAGCAAGAGACAGCTTAGTCAAAAATTTAGATCCTTCTTCCCAGTCAGTACTTCCAAATTATAAGCAAACCCCAAGGGACATATTAAGTTACACTAATTAATAACAGGCCCCAAAATTCCTTTCCAAACCACCAAAAGGCAAGTCTTTTCCAACGCTTTTCTTTGCAAATAGATATCTAGATAAGCTACATACAAGAGGAAAGGGGCAAGGGCAATTAGCCAAAAGAGTAAAGTCACGAAAACATAAACGCAGACAAACACAAAACACATAGTAGAAAGCGGCTTGTAGGAAGGGAAAGCGGTGACGGCGCATAGGTAGAAATTCATGGAATAGATTGTAATGTACATAATAGTCAACTTTGGGGTCATTGGCGCTTTTTCTTTCATCCCTCTGGGGAGACTGTATCTGGAGGTTGAAAGGACTCCTCTATAGTCAATTTGGATTCTTCCTCCTCATCATCATCGTTATCTTCTACTTGCTGCTGATTACTATCAGATGGTCCTTCGAGTTTTGTTACAAGCTGTGGAGTGATGATACTAGCAGCAAAGGAGGGATCATTTGAATTTCCTTGCGAGGTACTACTACTGGTTGGTAGATGAAATTGGGTGATACTGGAGAACTTCGCCTCGATTGCACCCTTACTCTCCAGGCCATTCTTCAACAATTTGATTATCATTTTGTCGATTGAACTCTCCCCAGGAGCACCTGTATAAAAATGGAAAACGCACAGGAGTTAGATAAAACTTATTTAGTCACTATTCATCAGCAAATCCCATTTATGTAGAGGTAAAAAACTTTAAGCCACTCCAAATTCACACGACGGTCCTCCAATCCGGCATCAATACAGCCTCCACAAAAAAACTAAATTGATGATGCCAAACTGTAAATATTGATTAGAAAACTATTTGTTATTTTTTCATTTTTGCGTAAACACATCCACCATCCAAGACGAACCAACGTTCACCCTTTCACTCCACCCTCCTTCTCATTTCGAGTAGGATCGATGGAACTCGGGTGGTATTCGATTGGAAATAGCGGTGACGCAGAAAGCCCCGAGATTGGAAACTTACCACAACATAATGCCCGAGAACCACGACAGCACTAAGCGAATATTCTCCATTATGTCATAAAGATGATGGCAGCTGAAATGTGAGGGAATTGACTGGAGTCCCCGAATCAACTCACAACAGTTCACTAGCAAACCAACCAATTGAATACTGTGCAGTCCCGAGCAAGGATCGAGTATATAAAGCGGGAAATCATCGTGTGAATAGCAACGAGCCTGGTTTGAACGCTAAAGATGGGTATCAGTGATCGACTAAATATTATAGCCTTTCATTAGTTGAGACCAGGTACCAGAGGTATAGGAGGCCGAGACACTTGTGTAACTGGAAAAGCTTATTTGAGTTAGCTAATTCTTGTGAAGTGGGAAAATTTAATGGCATCAATATTGAGCCGGTTGATCGGCAATGGTCATCATTTGCGTATATTCGGTAGTCGAAGAGCAGATAGTATAGGTGACCAATGGAGATGAAATTGAAATATTATAGATCGAAGAGATAGATGGAAATGAGAGGTACATCTAAAGGTGGTGAAAAGATGCGTTCAAGGAGCGTTGAATAAAGAATCGAACAAGAAACAGACATACACTGATATATATATATATACATATATACACACAGAGGGGAAGGAACACCAAAGTGAAAAAAGTCGAGTTGGTTGGGGGGACAGAAGGGTGTTTCAAAGATGCAAAAGATACAGACACAAAGGTATAAAAAAGGTGATGTGAGTACTGTGGAAGTAGACGAATATGACATACAGTGAAGTGAGTACTGTGAAAATGATCGAATATGACATGGAGTCAGCGAGTACTGTGGAAGTAGTCGAATATGACATACAGTGGGGCGAGTGCTGTTGAAGGGGTTGAATATGACAAGCAGTCGGGCTGATTGGTAGTTTGAAGTGAGAAGTCAACTGCCGGTTGATAGACGTAGTTTGAAGTGAGAAGTCAACTGCCGGTAAATAGACTTCTGCCGTATGAGTATACGTTGCCCAGGGTGGACCATGAGGTGGTAAGTCTATCCCACACCCCTTATTATTAAGTATAATTTTTCTTAGAAGTAAAAAATTGAGATAATAAGTTAAGATCAATATTTTGCATATTTTCACTTTCTTTTTGATATTCTCTCCTGTTCAAGGCAGATAGAATGTGCCTGGGAGCACTAAGTGTATAAATCGAGTTCTGAGTAGTTCCACGAAGAGTAACTTGGGTGGAAAAATAATTTCATTAAACGAAAGGTACATAGCGCAGCAGAATACAAGTGCCCCTAGGAAATAGTGTTAGACGGGAGGGAACAAGAGCATGTAAGATGTCCAATTAAAGGAGTTTCTTGAGAATACCAGCGGATACCGATGAGCTGAGTGGATCTTATAACGGGTAAGGTGATATTCGTAAAAAGATCATGACATTCTGCTTCATTGGTGAGATCATGCTACTTGCTCCTTCGGTTTATCATGTCGGACCCAATTACTACTAATGCAAGACAAGGTATAAGTGGAAATATTGCGATCTTCAAATATTGATAGCACAACTCAATTGCATAAAACCTTTATAATTAGGATTGGTCGCTGTTAAGTCGATAATTCGGTACACATATGGAGCACATACTCTGGGTTACAGTTACACCCATGGCAAATGTTTTATAAAAGTTTATTAATTATAGAAGCTGAAAATGTTCACAGATATTTAAGCAATTGCTAATCAGTATATAGTAATTCGATGGCTTAAAATATTGGTCTAAGTATGCGCAGTGCCTGTGATGTTTTGCAGTGGTTGAAAGATAGTATGAGGCAAACATTGGGGTAGATGGTCTTAAGTACGAACCAGAAGTAAAACTAATAGAATAATCATTGAGAAAATTACTATGAATGCCAAAAAATAAAACATGATTTTTTTAATAATACATGTAGAAAACTGACTCGTGCATATTAGTAGTAGTTTATAAACTTAGCGGTCCGTTTCGTTATGCGTGGAAAATTAAATTCTGATAGACATATTATAATTACTATTCACTCACTTGCTGAATAATTCAACAATTTTCTAGTTTATAAAACTACGATGTTGATTATGTACACTTCAACATAGGTATTGAAAAAGATGAAAAAAGAGATTCATTTGTTAAGATTAAATGATGGATACGGGCCGATAGGTTTATGCAAATTGAGAGATTATAGGAAGTGGAATTTCTCACAAAATAATTTTATAGAAAAGCTTATAGCTTAATAAATGGAGCTCAGTAGGTTTTAATGAAACAGGTCCGAGTATTGTATGATTTCTCTTTAGAGCCGAATTTATAATGGGTTTGAATTGATTTTACAGAGAACTATCGGATCCACCCCAATAATGATTACAAATTATATACTCCTAAATAAATAATCAATAAGTGGTCGATTGTGATTTTTTAGAATGGATTATGATAACATTAAGTGCTCGCAATTTACGATGTCATTTTAAATTTTGTTCGCTTACATTTACCTAAAATAATTTCATTCAATTTTGAATGCATTACTAAACCGCAATGACTATAAATTTACATTATCATAAGGTTTACTCATAAAACCCATGGTAATTAGAAAATTTTTAACATTTCAATTTACATAAAAAATTAATTAATAAATGATTAAAAACGTATAAATAGATCAATAATATCTTTTAAATTGTAAATTCTTTATTATCTTCTATTTATTTGTTTTTGAACCATAATGTAAATAATGTGAGTTGCAGTTTAAGTTGTCAAGAGCACTCACAATCGACCTTAATTTTTAGGTAACAATTTCAAGGTTATTCTACTATTCACATTGCAGGATCGACTGAAGTTGGCTAGATTCAACAAAATAGTAGTTGGTATTAGCAATTTTAAAGACTTTATGTGAAATTCGATTAGATTTTATTCTTTGGGAGAAAGATATTTTAAATCCTATTAAAATTTGTTCAAATCATAGCTGTTACAGAAGTGATGTCTGCTAATTTTATAAAAGTTATGGATGTGTTGCTATAATGAAATTTCGGCGATTTATCACAATTATACATTATGTATGTATGTAAGTATTATATCTTAGAGCTATGCCAATTTATATGATTATAGGATCTCATATTTTCCAACTGTTCTTTTACCGCTCTAATATTCTGGATTTTATCAAAAATTTCGTTGATTAAGGAATTTCCATTAGTTTTATCCAAGCATCAGCATATTCTTTTCGCTTTTTTTTCTAAAATTTAGTTAATATCAAACGACAGGGCTAAATTATTTGTACATTTTAATGCATTAAAATATTTTAGGGAATTTGAAAAGTTGCTCGCAAATTATTCTACAAGTGCATCAAATTGGCCTTATTTTCACATATTGTTTTGTAGTTTTATTGTGTGGAATATCTGTATTATCCTTCTCATAATCTTGCATTTCAGGCGACATATGATGAGAATTCATTGGCGCAAGTAGACGGTTTTATCCTCCGTCTTCTACCTCAATGTCTTCCATTTATTGGAGCATTTTCATCCTATTCTAAACGAGTGAAGATGAGTATTTGTAGCTGTAACTTGACGCAATGTTCGGACAGTTAGAAAATAAGCTCGATTTGGTATCTTTTAACTTTTCAGACTCGTTGAGTAAAATCAATGTGAAGTTTTACAAAGATTAAAATTTAAAATTATTCAGTGGCAGAATATGAATAAAAATGTTCGATGAACCCAAATAGATGATAGTTGTAACATCCCTCGAACACTGGCTTTTCGCACTATCTCCTAAAATTTCAATTTCACTTTCATTTAACGGGGCGTTCTGTCTTACCTCATTTAAATTTACAATAAATTTAATAAATGCTGAAAAATTTCTTTTGTCTTCATTTAACTTGATCTGATCGTCTAAAAGTATTTTAGTACGGACCTAACATTGTTCTACGAATCTTTTATTGACTTCTAAATTGAGGTGTATGGGAAATACTTCCCATTGGGTGAATATCTTAAAAGGTACATGAAGGATTTTTCATTTTGTTCCTCAAGTCTTATAATTTTCAAATTTTTGTTTATATAAAATAAAAGTGCTATTACTGCTTTCGGCGCTGCTGAACTGTTACCCTTTTATTTTTTACACAATTAGGGGCGTGTGGTATTTGTTGATTATTGAGTTATTGAATCGTAAACAGAGATGACTCCAGGGATGACTTTAAAACTAATTTAACTTAACCAATGAGAACACAACGGTTCACTGATATAGCCGTGGGTCATACCAATTTTATAATCACTCTAAATTCCTGTTTAATGTACTAGCATCATTGAAATTGAAATAAATAAGTAAGCTGTGATGAATATGAATACGGGAGTAGATTAATACATCAAAAGTGGAACATATTGCAAATCTCAGTACTTCTGCAATATAATGGGAGGGGACTGTTAGATTCAATGAATTTCTAGATTTTATAGATTTGTATTTAGTCTTTCAAGCAGTAGGAATCTTGAGCTTATTCATCGCTACTTTGTTTAGATTTAAAGCCATTTGGTTGTTCGAATTTCTACATGGTCTTTGTTAACTAGATCCGCTTTCTAAGGCATGTTGATAACGTTCACAGAAGTAAGATTTTTTCTTCCCATTTTAATGCGCCCTTCATGTTTTTGCAGTATATTTGCAGATGTGGGAAACCATTACTTGCGAACTCTGCGGCCAGTGCATTATATACCCTTCGAAACTTAACTCACATATGAAGGCGATTCACCAAAGTACGATCTATGCATCGATTTTTTTCGTATTTTTGTTGGTGACATTGAAGGTAAACTATTGCGTATTCTACCTGAGTTGTAAAAAAGAGGACGAATTTAAATGGGCAAAGCGTTATCAACTTCACAACCGCAACTGATATCTGGTAATATAGCGGGTTGGTTACTCTTGAAGCAGTAGAATTAGAGCATAGAGATTTACTCGTTCGGCTCGGTAATCACATTTAATTAACCTATTATCGAATCATGACGTCATTGGATAAAATGGTGTCAAGCTCAATTCTAGTTGTTTAAGAGAACAGGCCATCACTTCTGGAAAAGTGTTTAGTGTATGATTTGGCACTGGACACCACAGTGCTATAATAAAGCATTATTTTGCAAAGATGTCATTATTATTTCAAATGACAGGCTTTATGATATTTATTATTAGTCCCTTAGTTGACTTCTGGCTTTCTAATACCTCTGGGTTTCCGTCGTCGTCTTTAGAGCTGGACACCGAATCAAGTGGTCCTTCTCCGTTTCCTCCCGTAGGTCACACAGTGGGGCATGTAGGTTGAGTGTATACTCCCAATCTGTGAAGGTGTTTTGCCAGTTTTTTCTCTTAGTTTTTTTTTGCATTGGTTCATCTAGGCTATTTTGGATGGCTCTCTGTTTCCAACTGAATTTATTGCTGACTGTGAGTCCAACAGAATTAATGCTTTGTGA